CACAAGATATGAACAAGTGTTCATATCTTCAGGAACAGGAACAAGTGGTCAGTGTCAAGGTGATACAGAAAATAAGAATTCCACAACACTGTATATAGTGAGCTGAGTCTCATGGAAATATCTAACTCACTTTGTGTTAATGCATGACTCAAGTTACATTTGTCCTTACTAGCATAGGTAAAAAACCGGGACGATATTGGCATTGTAAAGTCCTTAAAATTAGTTTATGGTAACTGTTAGGTTCTGTTGCGAACAGACTTACTCTCCGCCCGAGTCCTTTGTTCTTCCTTTTGCCCACCTGGTACCGAGGTGAAATATAACAGACAGTACTTAAGGTTCAAACCCACCTTTGTTAAATGTAGTTATAAAAGTTCAGTAAAATACATAATTATTAAAAGCATAAATGCACATTTAGGAGAGAGAGCCAACACAACCTTGGAAGGTGCACTCAGCCTGCTGCTGGTAAGCGTCTCTCTGGCCGAAGAGGAAAAAAGCAGCTTCTTTTAGGCACAAGGCTTTGTTTACCTAAAGGGGGGTTGCAGGTGGTTATCTGACCCAGTCTCTTGGTCTGCTTCTAACTTCTGCCCTTCCCCCACATGTAACTTGTTGCTTGTGAGAGCACCAAATGAACTCCCTTCTTATAACACATTCAGAGCATAACAAGTCAATAAAACAGTTAATAATTCAGCTGATTAAAATATTAATAAGCAAGCATATAAGCTGATGAATATACTGTTTAGTAATAGTAAAATGATAATAAAGGTAAATATAAAATTGCATATCTCAACAGTTCAAATGGAGATTTCCTTCACAGATTGGCATGGAGTGAGGATTTCTCTGGGACCTGCGGTCTTTTCCCCACCCCTGTTTCATGGGGAGGTTTTTCTGATCGTAATGGGTCATTTTAGGCGGATTTCAACGAGTCAACCTTCAGGTCCCCTGCAGGGACACAGATTTTTTAAATGAGTATGTATGGATTGTTTGTCCATGTCAGTCGTGGAGGTGTTTACAGTCAGGAGGCCTGGGGTTGTGGCTGATATAGCCGAATTTGACCATATTAGGAAATTAGGCTTAGTTTACCTACTTTTAAAGTAATTTAAAATAATGTGCGCTTAGGCCATAAAATAGGTTACTAGCTAAATTAGACAACCTCTAAATTGTAGACTAAAACGTTTACTTATTTGCTAATGGACAAATGATAGTAAAAAATAAAACTGAACAGCAAAGTTTTTGTGATGCATTAGCTAAGCTGTTACCTTTTTCTCGGTTTACAGCCAATCCCTTTTTTTCGGGAGTAAATTTGTCCCGAAGGGGGGATTATGCAGTGTCTAAAGGTGGAGGCCTCTTCTCAGAAATGCACAGATGTACTATGTCTCTCTTAGACCCCAGCTTCAGAACTTGGCACATGTTACCATATTAGGAAAGGAATGCATAAAGTCTATCTTACCCCACTGTGAAAAGATAACTCCGCCCCAAGGCGAAATTTGAAAAATGCATCAAAGTGGGTAGGGGAGGGGGTGTGGGTAGGGGAGGAGGGGTTAGAGAGCGGAGGTGTGGCCAGGATGAGAGA